TATTTATTATTATCATTATTCCGCTTTTAGATGGACCTCCGTGGCTACCCTTTCATACATCACGTGGTGAGTCAGACGGACGGGTGGTACCTGTTTGACCAGTGGAACGCCAGCACGTTTGACCTGGAAGCTTCCCTGAAAACTGTGCACATTGATCTCTGGACCAGCGCCTTCTTCACTGTCAGTTTGAACGTGGATGAGGTGGATTGGAACAAGCGCGTGGTGGAGGTGAGTGGGGGGGTGAGAGGGTGAGACGGGGAGGGGGAGAGGGGGAGGGTGAGAGGGTGAGGTAGATTGGAACAAGCGAGTGGTGGAGGTGAGTGGCGGGAGGGTGAGAGGATGAGGGTGAGGGGGAGGGGGTGAGTGGATGAGGTGGAATGGAACAAACGCGTGGTGGAGGTGAGTGGGGGGAGGGTGAGGGGGTGAGGGGAGGGTGAGAGGTTTAGAGGGTGAGGGGTGAGTGGGGTGAGAGGGTGAGTTGGGGAGGTGGAATGGAACAAATGCGTGGTGGAGGTGAGTGTGGGGAGGGTAAGGGGTGAGAGGAGGGTGAGTGGGGGAGTGTGAGGGGGTGAGAGGAGGGTGAGAGGTGTGAGGGGGTGAGAGGAGGGTGAGAGGTGTGAGTGGGTGAGTGGGGGGTGAGTGGGGGAGGGGATGGCAGGAGGGTAAGGAGTTGAGTGGGTGGTGGGAGGGTGAGAGGGGTGAGAAGGTGATGTGGTTAGAGGAGTGAGCGCAGTGAGAGGTGATTGAGTGAAGGGGTGAGGTGGTGAGAGGGGGAGGGGGTGCAGGGTGAGTGCGGAATTGGCAGCAGGACGTGTTTATGGAGTGGAAGAAGGTGAAAGGGTGAGAGAGTGATAGGGTGAGGTGGTTAGAGGGAACTCATTCTAAATGCCTGCTGTCATCATCACCATTAGTTACCTTCGTCATCCTCCTCCTCCTCCTCTCTCATCATCATCTGCATTATCATTATGATGTATCATCACAACTACATCATCATCATCACCACCACCACCACCACCATCACCATCATCACCACCACCATCACCACTATCACCACCACCATCACCACTATCACCACCACCATCACTACCATCATCATCTCCACCACCACTACCACCACCATCACCATCATCATCTCCGCCACCACCATCATCACCACCATCACCACCATCACCACCATCACCACCACCACT